AAGGAATGGGGAACTTTGGGTGTTTTATGGGGAAACTATTTTATTTCATTTTAGATTTATTTTATTTATTTATGCATATGAGAGCTGGGGTGCAGGCCAGAGGTGCAGGGAGTGAGAGGATTCACCAGAGACAGAGTGGGGAACCGAACAGGCAGATCTACTGAAATACACTGCTGAGGGGCGCAGCAGGCAAGACAGGAGAGGTCTGCTGCGCCATGTGGGTCAGCAACCTGGCCGGGGATCAAACTCGTACTGCAATGGCTGCCTTGACAGTGCTGAGACTTAACCCCCTGTGCCACCAGGGATGCCCTGGGAAATTATTTTAATTATATTCTTTCTCTTCTCTCTCTTCCACTCTGATTGTATTCAACTTCTTTTCTCTTGAATATTGTATGCCCTAAGAGTGTGTTTTATCTTTATGCAGTAGACGGCAGATCCCATTTAAAGCAGGCAGTTTTGGGGGTCCAAGTGATCTTCAGTCAGCCTGCTAACACTTTTTTTCTTTATATCCATATGTGAGTGGAATCATCTGGTATTTATCTTTGTCCTTCTGACTTAATTCACTCAGCATAAACTCTTCCAGTTCTATCTATATTGTTGAAAACGGCTAGATTTCATGTTTTTATAGCCCAGGAGTTTTCCATTGTGTGGCTATACCACAACTTCTTTATTCACTCATTATGTGTCTTAGTGATAAAGTAGACACTGTATCTTCTTCCCTTCAAAATATGGCATAGGCTTATGCAAAAGCACACTGATTTGTGAATTTGGAATTGGACTTCTGCCAACCAGTGGTTACACTGGTTGTGACCATCAGACTAAAACTAAACATATAGTTGAATCTAATATACTAAAAGGAACAACATTTATTTTGAAATATGTATAGAATCACAAGACATTGCCAAGAGAGCCCTGATAGTTCTCATGTGCCTTTCATGCTGTTTTTAACTATTATACAAAACCAGGAATTTGATATTGATGTGATACATATATCCCTAAATGATACAGAATTTATTTAATTTCTGAATAATAGGAAATTCTGAAGTGGCACCTCATTTTTTTTCAGCAGAAAAATGTACCACTTTCATCTGGTCTCTGTTTAGAAATTGACTATTATTCTTATTGCTTCCCCTGGGGGTAAAAACTCATCTCTCTCTAGCTTTTTTTTCAAAACTTTGTTTCATTTTTAGAAGTGTCACAAGCCTGTGGCTTGTTGTGAATATCTTTGAGATTCTGTTATTTGGTGTTACTCAGCTTTGTTTATCATTTCCTCTAATATTTTGTCAATCCCACCATTTTGCTCCTCTCCTAAGATTCAGATGATACAAAAGTAATATTTTTGTAATAGCCCTACCTGTCCCTGAAACTGTTTAATTTTTTTCAGTCCTTTTTCCCTCTGTTGCACTGATGGAATAATTTCTATTATTTTGAGTTCATTGATTCTTCTTTCCATTCTGCTATTGAGTACATTCATTGAGTCATTATTTTGATTCTTATATCTTTATTTCTAAATTTTCCATTTGATTCTTCATTATAACTTCTGTCACTTTGTCGAGATGATTTTCAAAACAATTTTAAAAACTTAATTTTTTAAAAGATGGCTTAGAATCACAAGAAGATAAACAGATTTGTTTCCTTTTCTTGCCTTTCTGCATTATCAAAGACTTCCAATGTGATGTTGAAATGGTTAGCATGTTTTTATTTTTTATTTTTTACTTATTTTTTTTAGATTTATTTTATTTATACAAGAGCCGCGGTACAGGCAAGATGTACGGGAGGGTGAGAGGACTCACCAGAGACAGAACGGGTAGCAGAACAGGCAAACTGACTGAAATACACTGCTGAGGGGAGCAGTGGGCAAGACAGGAGAGGTCTGCTCTCGATGTGGGTTGCTCCGAGGCTGGTGGGGATCGAACCAGCACTGCAGAGGCTGCAGAGAGCTTCACAGCACTGTGCTCAACCGCCTGAGCCACCAGGGAGGCCCAGTTAGCATATTTTTAAAAACCTTTTAGTGGTTTCCCTAGATTTTGCAATACATCTGCACCCAATCCAAGTACACTTTCAAATAACACTATACAATTTCATAGTCAATGTGTGTTCCTTATCATAAGGTAATCCTCGTTTCTCCTTACTGTCCCTTGTACATTTGCTGTCATTTATTTCACTTACATCAACATATATGTAAACTGTATTTATGCAGATATACATAAATATATATGTAAGCATGTACTATATTTTGCTATTTTTATTTGAATAAACTATTTGTTGGAATGGCCAACAGGCATATGAAAAAATGTTCAACATCACCTGCAATCAGGGAAATGCAAATCAAAACTACAATGAGATACCATCTCACATCAGTGAGAATGGCACATATTAAAAAAACTAGCAACAACAAATGTTGGTGAGGATGTGGAGAAAAAGGAACTCTCCTGCACTGCTGGCGGGAGTGCAAACTGGTCCAACCACTATGGAAAGCTGTGTGGAGATTCCTCAACCTACTAAAGATAGAGCTTCCATATGATCCAGCAATTCCACTCCTAGGTATTTACCCAAAGGACACAGAAACATCAATCCCAAAGAGCACCTGCACCCCTATGTTTATAGCAGCACTATTTACAATAGCTAAGCTTTGGAAACAACCCAAATGCCCAAAAATAGATGACTGGATCAAGAAGATGTGGTATATATACACAATGGAATATTACTCAGCAATCGAAGATAAACACATGCAATTTGCAGCAGCATGGGTGGAGCTGGAAGGGATCAGGCTCAGCAAAATAAGCCAGAAAGAAAAAGAAAAATACTGGATGGTCTCACTCACAGCAGGAATCTAGAAAACCTAAATAAGGGACCAGGGAAAAGAATAACTATTAGAAAGAAAAAATCAAAACAAACAACTATGAACCAGAGACACTCTATGGGGGTTGGGGGACAGGGAAAGGAGGGATTGGGGTCAAAATAAGGGGATTGCAATTGTATGGGGAATATAAAAATAAAATTAAAAATAAATATATTGAAAAAGTAAGTATTCATGACACTGTTAAATTAAAATCAGGAAAGCAACCATGTGAAAAAAAAAACTATTTGTTAGATCAATTAGTTTCCATAGGTATTGTGCTTTTAGTTTCCCTCTGATTTCATTCAGGATCCTTTCTTTACTCTGTGTAGTTTGAATATGATTTGCCTAGGTATAGATCTTGGGACATTTATACTGCCCCAAACATTTGTTATGACTGAAACATTTAAATATTTTGTTTTCGCATGCTCCTTCTGACACAGTTCTGGCAGGTGAATGGGGTTATTGCCTCATAACTGATTCAGCGGTGCAAGTTCAGGTTCCCCACTTGGTCTGTATGATACCCAGAGTTGAGGGGCAGATAGTTGTTAATACTGTGAGTAGCACTTGTTCTTTGATATCATGCTAAGAGAGAAACGATTTTCTTATTACTGCTCCTAGTGTAGTCAATTCTGTCAGCTTGGAGAGTGCAGTAATTTCACCAGACTCTGCCCTGCAAGGATGATGAGAAGCGCCTCATTACCATTCTGTCCTAGTCGGAAAGTTCAGGCCCCTACACATGGTTACCAAGATGTCACTGGCTTGTTACTGGCTGTCAGGGTTGGATGTCACAGATGGTTCCTTTCCTGGCTTTGTCTGGCTCCACCTTAGGGGGATGATTAGGGTACCCCTTGATAGCCTGACCAGGGTAAAATTCTCAGTCCCCCAGTCTACTTTGCTGGTAGATAGGGGGTGGAGTTATAGCTGTCTTTTTCTTCTGTTGTTTGGCTGAAATGGAGCAGTCATTATTTAAATGACTGTTCATTGTCTAGAAAAAGTACTGTTTTGTGGTGCTTTTAAAAAAAATTGTGGCCTTTGGCAATCCTACTTTTTTCAGTGTTACATGTGGCCCTAAGGCCAGAGAATAGGATCACTGGAAAAAATCTACAGGAAGACAAATATTAGCTCTATGAAAGAGAGATTATTTCTAATTGAGTTGCTTAAAAATGAAAGGACTGAATTTATAGATAGGTAATTTGTTTCTCATCAGAGGTTTTAAAACGCTGGTACATCAAGTTCTTGATAAGGACTTTGTTGTTATGACTCAAGCCTCAGTTGGGTAGTTAGAGTAGGTAACAATTTAGTTAACTGCAACCCTGATGGTTACCATTAGTATGTTTTCTCCCAACTCTAGCACTCATTTGTCCAAGTATATAGGAGATAAGTATTCTTTAACTGATACTCAATATAAGTGTATTCTAGTGATAACAAGCAACTGTGGTTGCTTTGACATAGCAGTGAAAACCATATTTCTCTTGTTACACTATGTTTGGGATCCAAAATAATATAAAAATGAATTCATACAAGAAAGGCTGGCAATAAAATATATTCAATTATTTTCTGCCAGAGCCCTTCGCACAGTCATGCCCACAAATGATCCCTTTATGTTCTTTATGTATCATTTAAGTTTAAAACTTTGTAAAACATGTTTATTTCTGAATACATTGAAACACTGTAAAATATGAACAATTTGTGTTCACAAAAATTTGCAGCACCCCTCTAGTTGCCTTCAAATGATTCCTTTCAAACCCCTTCCTGACAGGAATAGTTTGTCCTAGGATTTAATTATATGCTACAGCAGTCATTAATGTCTCCTGAGGGTTTTCATTTTAATACTATTACATGTGCTTTCATAATTATTGTCAGTTAAATCATAAACATAATATTATAAGAGTTATTCTTTGCTAACATTCTCAAGAGTTAATACATTTTGATAGCATCTAAGAACTCAATAAGAATATTAAACTTAAATATTTTAAAAATAAATCACACAAATGCATTTTTGCATTCCTCTTTGCTCTAAATAGTATTTTATTTGTTTTAAATAATATGCAATATGTCCTTATAGTGAAGATAAGCATGCAAGATAAATGCATCTGTCATAAATCTGCATGTTAAGATATTCAGTCTATGTTTAAAATGTTCAATCTGTGTTCTATAGGTGTTCACCAAAGCACTAACATATCAACACTGCTTCAGCACCACGGCAGCTTAATGATTGAAGAACCTCACTTTCCAGGGAGCACATGTTAAGAGGTAAAAAGCAGATAAACAGCAATATCACTTGCAAGTAGCAATATAAAGTTAAAAACAGAGATCAATGGATGGCAGATGAAGGAAAGTAGGACACTGGAGGGGAGATGGAATAGGAAAGGCTCAATTCAAAAGTATGGCACAGGAGCACATGAATAGTACTTGTGAGAAAAAGGGAAGATTGTTCAGGTAACATTCAGTTCAACTGTATACACTCTTTCCCCTGGAGTTAGAGCTTAATATAAAAAAAAAAAAACCCTCCACCACAGCAAGACAGTCACACAGTGATAGAATCAGACATATTTGCAGACTACATAGTGCAGTATCTATTCCCACTGTAACTCTCATCCACAGCATGATTAATAATTGAGTAGAGAAATGAAGAGTGCAGCAATAGAAATGTGGCAGGTGTATTTTAAGATGCAATTTTAAACAACTGAATAGTCTCCATAATTAGCAGTCAAAACCAATTCAATAAAATGACAAATACCATGTAATATAATGTGGGGAAAAAAACAAAAAGCAACAAATGCACACTAGACAGAAACAAAATAGGCATTGCCCTTGCTCTTCATGACTGAGTTTTCACAACTCACAACTGAGCTTTGAAAAGTACAATCCAGGGCCTCCCCAGGTTGCGCAGCAGTTGAGCGCTGGGTTGCGAAGCTGCAACCTCTGCAGCGCCAGTTCGATCCCCGGCTGCTCCCTGGCCACCGGAGGAGGGTCCCACATGGCGCACAGACCTCTCCTACCGCCCGCTGCTCCCCTCAACAGTGTACTTCAGTCCTTCTGCCTGCTCTGCTCCCCACTCTGGCTCTGGTGAATTCTCTCACCGTCCCACGCTTCTGACTGTACCCAGTGCTTGTATAAATAAATTTTTAAAAAAATCTTAAAAAAAAAATCTTAAAAAAAATCTTTTAAAAAATTAATTAATTAATTAATTAATTAAATAAAAGGAAAGTACAATCCATTTACTCATTCCCATTCTTGGTTCTTACCAACTGAAAACAGATTTGTTCCTCCAGAGTAGAAGGGAAAACTGTCTCTAGCCTCATAATTCACAAAGGCCTTAATTTGTGACTTCTCAGTCACAGATATGCTGACAAGATTCCATCAGCAACAGATATTTATGGAGCAACTGATCAGTAAGCTGCTATTGTTGTCATGATGACTGGGAATAGAATAAGAGAAACAGAAACTCTTCTCATTGTCTGATTTGTGGAGCACATGTGGAGACGAAAGGCAAACTCATTCCAATTTAGACAGCATTTTCCTCAGCAGTCTCTTATGTCATTAAGTCTAGATTCCTTGTTGTTAGGAAACTTAGCTTTTTCTTAATGCCTCTGATTTTTAGGTTATTAGGGAAATTTTAGCAGTTGAGTGTCCTATAAAATGTTGACATTTTTATATATCTTTGTTCCCATGATCTAAGGCTATGAATATGCTTATAATTTATATATGCATAAATATTAGAAAATAAGTCATTTTAAGAAACAAAAGTGCAGGCCTATTCACCTCCCAGAGTCCACTGCTTGGGATAGAGGGAGCCATGGCTCTCCACAGCCTTTTAAAAGAAGGAAATTGAGAGTAATCTGGAGCTGGGGACTTGATCACACACCTAGGGTCAAAATAACTATTGGTTATTGACCAAGAGACAACACCAGTGGTAATACATTCCTTTTACAAGTTAAAATCAAATGAAAGATAATGCAGTCAGTGTTTCATTGACTTGTAAGTAGTAGTCTCTTTAAGCTGTGTCACAGTGATGCTTTTAAATACATTGCAGTCTGCGCTGGAAGACCAGTTTATTTTTACGAACTTAGTGATTAATTAAAAGAGATTGCAGGTAGACTGGCAGCACAAATTCCAGATATTACACTTGTAAAGGGTACCTATATGTGCAATAGCATCTGTTTGTATGAAGGACTTTCATTAACATAAAGGGAATACAAGAATCAAACTTAAGAAAGAAGGGATTTCCCAGAACAGAACTCTAGAAACTGTCATTCCGTGAGTCTGTGGATGGGAAAAGAAAGCCAAGTAGAATTGTAACAGGGTGGTACCCAGGAAAAGGAGAGGTTCCAGGTTCCCTGACCCACCCAAAGGAGGGTGGGGCTGAGCAGGGAAGAGAAGAAGCTGGAGAGGAGACTGGAGAAGGAAGGAAGCAGGTTAAAGAGACAAAAGGTAACCTAAATTGCAGAGAGACATGTAAAGAAATTGTGCTTACTTCTTAGTCCTGGACTGGTTGAAACAAATGTAGGCAAAAAAAAAAAAAAAAAAAAAAAAAAAAAAAACCATGGGAAGATTACCAAAGATAAGGTTTTATCTTATTTTTAATTTTGCTTTTTTCCTTCTGGACTTGTCTGGCTGTTTCTGACCCTTTTTTATGAATTCCTGTGGAAAGTGCTTTAGGCTTGTGGCAAGCTTTCGGGCCTTGCTTTGGGCCAATCCTGTTTAAGCAAACATTTACCCAGGAGGGGATGGCTAACTTTGGGTGCTTAATTTAAAAACTATATTCTTGTCTTTTCTATATTGCACACTAAATGTATTAAAGTTCATTTCCATTAAAAGGCCAATATATTTTGTTTTAATGCAAAAGATAATAAAACCTATTTATAGCGCACAGGTTTGGGGGTTTGGGAATGCCCTCTCCCTGTCCTGTAACAGAGTAGCTGAAGTTGTGTCTATTTTCCACATAATGTTATATTGTCATGTTATTTATATGTTGTGCTATTTTTTCCTCCATCTCTACTCAAATCTAGCATAACAATATGTACATTTTGCTGAGGCAGATTTGGAGGTCAGCTCCCAATTTGTCACTGACTTGGTATTGACTCTTAACCCATTTATAGATACCTGTACCTCAATTCCTTCATCTGTGAAACCAAAAGATTAAAGGATGAGTTGCTGTCAATTTTAATAACCTCTGAGAGCAGAGAATTATAGAGGACTACTTCAGACAACTCTTTCCTAATCCAGGGAGACTATGAGTTTTGTAAAGAGAAGGCCCAGCCAAAGATTTACATTCAATGTGGGTTACGCCCTTCCTTTGACAACAGATGGCTAGAGGCCTCTGGAAGGACATCTGCCCCAAGGGATGTGTTAGCTGTAATGGTTCATATGTGCTGCCTGCTGAACCAGCTTTATCTGAATCATTTGGGAAACTTTAAAAATAGACATTTCAGTGCTCTGCCTAACAATTATGATTTCCTGGGTGCAGCCAGAAATGGGTATTCTGTAAAGCATCTTTTCAGGTGTTTCAGATGCATCCAGGTTTGGGAACCTCTGGAATAATATAAACTTGCCCAGTAGGGCATCTCTGTTGGAAAAAAATATTTTACAAAATACTTCTTCATCTCTTTCAGTTAACATTGTCTGATTCTACTTGTTCCTGTCCTCAAACACATATATGTCCACAATGCTTAGACTTAAAAAGAGATTTCATAGTGACTCTCTTCTTTTTTTCAAAGAACCATTTTAAAGTACCTATCTGGATCAAATGTGTGTGTTCTATCCGATTCCAGTTGCTCTTCAGGCTGATAGTAGGGCTTAAAGAATAGGATAGTACCTATAAAGCAACTAATTTGAAAGCCTGTTTGTCCCTTTAATAGTTAGATGGTAACTAACGATTATTCTTTACATGTGTATTTAAAAAACTTCAAGGAATATTAGCAAGGAGACCTTTACAAAATCACCAATCTAGATCTTTCCTTCTACAAGGTTTCAGCTGGCTGACCTCTACTTAATAAATTAACTTCTGAACCAAAAACAGTTATAGAATAAAAATCATTTACTTCTTATATAGAACCTTTATCAATTTTAAAAGACTGTCAATTTTATCCCAGATAATCAAAGCTATGGGGGTTGAAATTTACATTCTTTTTTTTTAAAGATTTATTTATTTTTATACAAGAACCGGCGTACAGGCCAGATGTGCAGGAGGGTTAGTGGATTCACCAGAGACAGAGCAGGGAACAGCACAGGCAGACTGAAGAAATATAATGCTGAAGGGAGCAGCAGGTGACACAGGAGAGGTCTGCTTAGCCATATGGGATTCTCGCCGGCCAGCTGGGATCAAACCTGTGATGCAGAGGCTGCAGACAGCTTCACAGTGCAGCGCTCAACCACCGGCGCCACCAGGGAGGCCCTTATCTACATTCTTATTTCAGAATTCAAGTTTTGTCTTTCCAACCAAAACTGGAAGCATTTATTCAATTTCCAATTTTAGATGATGCATTTGAGATTCAAAGTAGCTAAGTAATTTGCTCAAGGTTACCTCCTAGTAAATCCTGGAGCCAGAATTTTAAGTTTGTCTTATTCTGAAACCAGTCTTATTAGTTAAGATTTCAGCAGGAATAGCACACATGAATTGGGTGATTTGAAGAAGGTTTGGTAGAGGCCTAATTATAAAAAAATGGAGTGATATAAGGAAGCCATATCGGGAGTAGTGGCTTTCTCAGGACTGGTAACCTCCAAGCCTGAGTCTGGAGGCAAAGAGTGGGAGAGGTTATAGGACACTATAAAGATGGTCTCTTGGGAGAGGCATCAATGAAAGCTCAGCCCTTCTCTTTAATATATTATCTCTCAGGAATCACCAGTCACCTAGAGAAATACAATATCAATATGCTAAAGGTGCACTTGTAATTAAGTCTGACTTGCCAGGGGCTAATTTTAGCCAGTCCCAATGAAGGAGGAATAAAAGGTCTCAAGGCACCCTCCCGGGTTCCATTGCTAATTTACAAGTATCGCTCTATGAAAGTTTCATTCCCTTACACAAGACATTGCATTTTTTAAAACCCATTTTCCTTTATGAATCTCCATAGTGATGTTGCGAATTCATCAGTGTGGCCTGGTCTCCAGAATCGTACAGTAATTGGGTAAGCCAAGAAATTTGTTCTGCCTATTTTCTTATTTCTGATGCCTGATTGAGAACAGCTCACCATTCATTAGAATTTCTTCAGGGCTGGGGTATGACCAGAAGAGATGTAATTAGAAACCCACTCACTGATTTGACTCCTGTTATAAGCCAATACATAGGAAACTTAAGAAAGGAACCTTAAAAGTAGTAAAAGAGTCTTTAAATATTTCTATGGGGATATATGAGCAAAGGGTACATGGAATATTGGGATACATAGAAGTCATTTATAGTGGAAAAATCCTACACTAGCATGCACAATTTATGAGGTAATTGAATATTGAGAGTATGTGGTTAAAATGATAGTGGCTTATATTTTAAAATTAACTACATAATAGGAAAATTAAAGGAATGAGTTTGAGGTTCTACTTTAGGTAATAGGAAAAGGAGAAACGCATAGAAGGCTAGAGTTTGGGGAAAACATAAGACACAAAAGGCCTTGAAATGTTGAGTACTAAACCACTGGAGATTTGGGAAAGGAATTTCCCAAAGGAATATCGTTTCAAAGAATTCAAAGGAAAAGAATATCCATTTCAAAGAATTCAAAACAGGATCATAGAGTATACATGAAGGACAAAGGCAGTTTTTGAGTAGCTTCGTGTAAACATGGATGAGCTAACTTAAATCTGATAAAAAAAAAATTCTTCTCTCCTTTGAATTCAAAAGTGATACCTAAATCAGCTACCTAGTAAAATGTTTCTCAGCCGCATCTAGACTGTAGAATGTGTAACTATTAAATATTCCCCATACGGTTGGCATTTGTTATAATAAATATACCTGCAATGTAGTAACTTACCAATGCTCTGAAAATTTTCCTCAGCTCCCCTGTAAATTTGGTTTGCTCTGCATTAGTGGCAAAGCAAGCAACCCTATCCTTTCTTTGTGGAGGGGACAGGCTGACATTTAACATGAGTCTGGTCAGCAGAATATTCTTTAATGCCAACAGATAAAAGGTAGCAAGTAAATATTGTGATGACCTTGCCTATGGAATCACCAACACCAAAGGTAGATAATAGACCATAATGATTATGAGTTGGAAATGAATTCCCTCCTTATTATCTATGTGACTATGAACAAATTATTTAAGCTGCTTAATTTCAATTTTCAGATCTGTAAAATTTTGAATAATAGCTTTTCCCAAGGCTGCTCTACACAGTTACATATGGTATGCATTGTGTAATATCAGGGTGCCAGGGGTCTGCACTGGCACTCATATGTGCCAGGCACTGCTCCAGCTATTTTATATATTAACTCATTTGGGAAGTAAGAATTAATGTTAATTCCAGTTCACAAATAAGGAAATTGAGGCACAGAAAGGTTAATGTTAAATAGCTTTCTCCTTTTAAAGATGACTTGTTTTGGGGGACACCAGCTCTTCACTATCACTAGGGTAATCCTAGTCATATTTTGGACTCTTGTGGATACACAGGGAAGGAATTTTCCTGTCTTCACAGGTTAATCATTTCTAGTTACTTGTTAAATATCAGTTTAACGATATAAAGTTGCCTTAGACCATTTTCTCACATGGTTTCCATACTGAGCACATAAAAATCCCATGCCCTTAATTGTCTAGAATAGTAGCTATTTCATTCTTTTCAATAAAATTAGCCGAAGAATATGATGAACATCTTCATCTTTGGAAAGCTTTGTTAATAAATTCAACACAAGAAGTTTCGTAGACTTCATAACTTTATCTTTTTGTTTTCTTGTTTCAGAAGAGAATATTGGCATGAGCTCTATAGTATATATCCAAATCTAATCTGTTATAAAAATCACCTAGTGGTTCAGTATTGGTCTTGGTTGTAAAGAACAAAACCCAATTATGGCTTAAGCAGAAATATTATGTATTGAAGGAATATCTACTGGCTTTTAGAATTTATATGCCAATTAGGGAATCAGACTCAGGAATCAAAAGGGAAGCTAGGGAATTGGGTACACGTTTGAGTGTACCATGGACCCGTTTTGTTATGTTTTCTCATCTGAATACCTGCCATCACTCCTGGATTTTTAATTCTGTCACTATTAACTGGATTTGAAATGCCACCAATACTACAGTGAATAACCTTAAAAAAATTTATTTTGAAGTGCCTTTGGTTTACATCCTTGTTAGTATAGGTTCTCTCCTTTCAGCTGTAATCACCATAGCCCACCAACACCAAAGCTCCATAACCCTCCTCCATAGTCCATTGTGTTCTCTCCTTACCCTCTTCTTATCCCTCCTCTTCGCCCCCTCTGGATGCCTCAGGTCTATGGTAAGCTTTCAATGGCTGGTTTTAAAGTTAAGCTTTATGTAGCCCTTTGTTTGGTTTCTCTGTATTGAAGGAGGGCAGGGGATCCCACAATATTACACATAAAGGTGATACCATCCAGTATTTTATCTTTCTTCTTCTGGCTTATTTCATTTAGAATTGCCTCCATATTGCTGCAAATGGCACAAGTTTATTTTTTTTTTTCTTTTTTGATCACTGAGTAGTATCCCATTTTTATATATGCCACGTTTTTGATTCATTTGTCTGTTTGGGGGCACTTAGGTTGTTTTTGTATCTTGGCTGTTGTAAATAGTGCTGTCATAAACATGGAAGTGTAGGTTTCCATTCAAATTTGTGTTTTTGTATTCTTCAAATAGATGCCTAAAAGTGGAATTCCTGGGTCTTATGGCAGATTCATTTGTAATCTTTTGGCAAACCACCTTCTTGCTTTCCATAGGGGCTGGGCCAGTGTACATTCAAAACAATAGTGTATGAGGATTCATTTTTCTCCACCCTCACCGGTACTTGTTGTTTCTGGCCCTTTCAATATAGGCCATTCTCAGAGGAGTGAAGTGGTATCTCATTTTTTTTATTTGCATTTCACTGATAAGTGATGATGAAAGTTTTTTCACATGCCTGATGGCCATCTGTATGTGTCCTCTGGAGAAGTACCTATTTAGCTCTCCTGAGCTCTAAATAATTGGTAAACTATTCTTTAATTTCTAGTTTCAGTGATTCAGACAGAGATATGATTTACAACACCTAAGTAATTTATCTGCTTCTAATTTCTAGAGAATGTGAATTAGAATTGTGTAACATCTTGCCCCCGGTCTTCACTAACATTTATTCAATGAGAGATAACTCCCAAAGAAAAGATTACTATGCCATAATGAAAAGATAAAGAAAAGATTTCTAAGCCATAATGAAAATTATCTCATAGATTTTGTTACAGTAGATCTAGGATAGATACCCATGAATCTCTGTGGAAATATGGTATGAAATAATCCTGAGTTGAAATATGTCTCATAGTTACAACTTATATACTCTTAGTAAATATTGTACTTATTGCACTTTCCTATGGGAATGAGTCTGTTATGAGTCTCAAACATTCCTGCATTTCCTTCTGTGTGTGCCAAATTGTAAGCAGTGGCCATCACTGACCCCCAGCAGTTTCTCTAGGTGGCAGCAAAGTAGGTTAAGTGACCACAGCATTCCTGTTATGCAACTGCTTATTCTCCAGCAGAAAGGGACTGCTTCTGCTGGCTAAAATGCAGTGAGAACCTAGTCTTATGTTATTGAGCTTTTTAAAAGTGTTGTTGTATTTTTTTCAAATGGTCTAAACAGTATGGTGATGGGAATCTTGACCACATGGCAGAATCAAGAAGTAGTAGAGAAACTAGTTCCTACATGAGATCCAGTTGTGCAAGTGAGGGAATGAAAGAAGGGAGAAGAGAGAAAAGAGAAGGATGTAAGAAAAGAAGGAAGATGGAGGGTCAGGTACAGAAGAGGAACTTATCTCTGTCACATATAATGTTATTTAAATTCATTAAAACAGTAATTATGCCACTGTGTAGGATACGTACGTGAAAGAGGCAAGCAGCAATTCATATATTAATTCATGATCACAGGGTAGGAAAAATTAAAAATAAGATCTCATGTTAATAAATAACTGTATTTCATAAAAGAAGGTATGTTGAGGTAGATACTGAGAGAGACATAGTTTTTTGAGCTGTGTATTAAAAGAGGACTTTCCAAAGGGATTGAAAAAGCTAAAAAAATGAAAAAAGGGCCTCCCCGGTGGCGCAGCGGTTGAGCGCTGGGTTGCGAAGCTGCCCGCAGCCTCTGCGGTGCCGGTTCGATCCCCGGCTGCTCCCCGGCCACCGGAGGAGGGTCCCACATGGCACACAGACCTCTCCTGCCGCCCGCTGCTCCCCTCAGCAGTGTACTTCGTCATTCTGCCTGCTCTGCTCCCCGCTCTGGCTCTGGTGAATTCTCTCACCCTCCCGTGCTTCTGACTGTACCCAGTGCTTGTATAAATAAATAAATAAATCTTTTTAAAAAAAGTTTAAAAAAATTTTTAAAAATTTAAAAAAATGTTAGGAGATTAGTTCAGGGTTAAACTTAGAGAATACTTGGAGTGAGTTAAAGATAATGTCCACACACTCAGAGATATTGAGGAAAACTTCTGTTTTTTCTGGAAATATGCTCTGGGATATTTATAAATTCAGAAATTATAATTTGCCTATCAGTAGGCAAAGATAAATTCTCAATTAAAGACTTGGCCAATTTAATAAGAAGAACTTAGCAACCATTGTTTGATTAAGTCCTTGATCAGACCCATCAGAGACAAACCTACAAGGGCTAAGCGGAGAAAGATTATCTGTTGATGCGTTGAAGAACAGCGAGGATTTCCCATACAGACCTTTCCTAATGATAAGCCACTGAACGAAGTTATCTAATTAATCTGCACCATGCCCTGGAAAGTTAACTTTAGATATGATTCTCATTTCACAATGAGAAATTCAAGTACAAAAAATACTAACTTTATATCATGAAGTAGATTTCTAAGAAAACAATTTTCCCCATTACCACCTCATACCTGGCCTCAGTCAAAGCAGAAGAATTGTCTGCTTGTGAGATCTTGGGGTGCTTGGAAAACCCTCACACATTTCCCTTCACAAATGTAAAATGTTTGCAATGCATCTTTTTTGAC